CCCAGGGGGACGGTCAACACTAAGAATGAACACACTCTGCATGTTCTCCTAGGTGAGACTTTCTCTGGGAGGGGGATTGCTGGTCAGGGATTATCCTTGATTTACTCAGTGACATGTGTTGATCTGACTGAGGATGGTGAGGTGGCCTAACAAGTGGCTGGCTAGGTGCCAGCGCCACCAGCTGTGCACAGCGCCCTTCCCCCTCCGGCGCTTGTCCTCATCCGGTTTCCTAATTGTTGCCCATCTCCGTGTAAAGTATATTTTATTCTAATTTTCATTTTTCTGGGTTACTAATAAATTAGAGTATTAGTTAAAATGCTTGGTGTTTTTTTTTTATTTCCTTCTTATGGATTCCTTTGTTTGTTGTGACTTTGTAGGAGTTCCTTCCTTTGGTTTTCTAACTACAGTCCCTTGGCTGTTTAGATGTTTGAAATATCTTCACCTACTGTAGTGCATGTTTTTCACTGTCTTCATAAAATCACTCAGTAAATAGAAGTCCTTTATTTTGAGGTACTCAAATTCATTAGTTTTTACTGTTTGTGTTATATTTGGAGGTGGTTTTAAGAAATTTCTTTCCCTTCCATAGAGGTATTCTCCAACATATTCTTCTGTTGGTTTTACCTTTTCATATTTAATTTATGAATCTGTCTGGAGTTTGCCTTTGTGTATGGTGTTTATGGTATACAACTACAGTTTTACTTCTCTCATATATTATGTTTAGAATACATTTTTTGAGTTCCTTAGTAAATTGTGCTAAAATAATGATTGGAATTACATAGAATTTATAGATTAATTTTGGGAGAATTGACATCATGACAATTTGTCCCATTCATGAGTTTTGGGATATTCTTTGATATCTTTCAAATTTTGGTTTGGATACTTTCTGGTAGATTTAAAAATTCAGACCAGCAAGATTTAAAAATTGATATGATATAAAATGTTGACTTGATTGATGTAATCATATTTGTCAAAAGAAAAACACAGGTACACTAATTAGTTCTATAGATTAATTATGTAGATGTGAAATGATCACATTAGCCAATTCAAGATATATTTTTTGTATTTTTGATATATTTTCTTTTAACCTAGGATATATCTGCATTAGCTAGATTTTTAAATGATTTCTCAGCTCAACAATTATTTTTTACTTTTTGTTTTATCATTGAAATATGATAAATAAACAGCTTTTATGAAAATAACTACTATTTACTAATGGAATTTTTATTAGGTCATATGGGTTAAGATACTTTTATATATATGTTTTTATTAGTCTTTATTTTATGTTAGCATTGAGTTTTGGTAGCATTGATGTAAAAAAAAAAAAAATCAATCATGTTTCAAGTTCAAAATGGGGAAATAGTGAGAGCAGTTTTTATGCCAAAAAATGTGTGTGACGGTTTTAGGCTGAGTTTTGGCAGCTCTTATTTTAAGAAAAATTGTCTAGGGAAGAAGGGATTTTTAAAAGGAATTATTTTAATATTTGAATAGGATAAAATCCTTCATGCTAAGGCCCTTTAGCCAAAGACCACCAGGAACACACCTATGGTAATGTAGGTGGCTTAATTACTTCTTGCTCTGAGGGATCAATACATCATGGGGACTCTGTGTATCTCAATATGTATCCTATCCTAGGAATTAGATTTTGATTGGGTGATTGGAGGGGTATCCTATAGATTGGATGCGGAGACTATTCTGTGACTGGATAAGTAAGTCATTTATAGCAAGAGAGGGAGATGTTTGATATTTTGTGGGTTGTTAAACAGTGATCTTTCCCTCTTTGTGTTTAATAAAATTATGAAGTATCCTTCCTTTTTCTCATTTATCCTGGTCTCAGAGTAACCTGACCTCAGGCTGGTCTTCTATAAGATGTGTATCCCCTCTCTCCCTCCCCGTTCCTCCTCCTCTCCTGCCTCTTCCTCTCTCATCCAGAAGCAATATGTGCTCAATTCGGGGGATTTTCTTTTTCTTTTTTCTTTTCCAAGTCACCCAGGGCAGTGACTTAATCATGAGGATGTGAGAGATTTCATTTGGACAAAAAGCAAGATAGTTTGACCTTGTAGCTTTGTCACAGGTAACCTTGCCAATGATTTTAAATTTCATTATTATAGTCTCATTTTGAAATAAGCATTTCCTCTGTGGCCTGTCCTAGTGGAAGCCACCCTAATTGCCCTGTGCATTCACTGCAGTCACCTGTGACTGGTCTCTCTGTTCATTCTTTTGTTCCCTTGCTGTGAGTACCTCCTCCCCAGAGGAGGCACAGTCATCTTTTCAAAAACGTTGTCATACACAAAACTCCTCGTTGAAAGTCCTCCCCCACCTATTGCAAATAAAATAACTCTCAGACTTACGGTTTAGCAGACCCTGAAGAACCCCTGTTTATCTCTGTGACTTTATCATGGCTTTCCCTTTCATCCTGCCACCACTCACCTGGCTGGCCTTTTTGTTCTTGGAAATAATTGAATTCATTCATGCTTTATATCCTTTACTGTGGATAATTCCCCTTATCTGGAATGGCCAGTCTTTGCAAGGCTGGCTTCTTACCCTTTGTTTCTTAGAGCTCAAACCCATTTCTCTATTTGTGAGTTATCTCTATCTAAATCAGCCTCATGAATGCTGTCTTGCTTTGTTTTATATTATTTGTAGCACTTATCAATATCTGAAGTTAATTCATTTGTTGTATTGTGTGGTCCTCCTCTTCCCAACCCACTTTACTCCCCACTTCACACACAAGCTTCTGAGTGGGTGGAACTTGAATGTCTGTGCATTTGTAAGTGCTCAGCCCTAAGGAAGTACCTGGTGCAATGTAGGTGTTTAACAAGTATCTGTTCAGTAAATGGATACACGTATGAACGAATAGATGAGAAAACAACCAAATGACTGAACATACATTCTAGACAGATGTCTGTTGACTAATAACAAGAGAAATACTTGTTAATTTATTATTTAATTGAGATATAAGTACCTGAAAAGAATGTCAATCTGTTTCTCTGAAAATATGCCTTAAAATATAATGTTCTTTTGAGCATCTATGGTCTAGAACTCTGGTTTACATGGCATAGCATCATAATGATGTTTTCCTGATGCTTAAAATAATATTTGTGTGCATTTCTCTGGAGTGATTCCAATGTAGATATATTTATGAATGTCACAATCAGACCAGAACTTTGGGAGATGACAGGTGGGTTGAAAAATAGCCTGAGTAGCAGAACTTTCCATAGAGCCATATTTTATTAATTTGGAGTTGGGGTACATATAAAATATACATGGTGCTATGCCTATTAAGTTTAAAGATGACTTTAATTTTACTGTTTGTTTTCCTTATTTTGTATTTCTTGTTGTTGCATTTAGTATTTGAATTTGACAATAATTTAAAGTAGCTGTTTTATATTTCAATTTAAGGATTCAATTTTCTATGGACTCATAATACCAAGATCTAATCCACAGTGTATGAATATTGGTTTGCAGTGAAAGACGAAACGTGATATGAAAATGTTAGGTGGAGGGTGGGAAAACTGGAAACAGCCAGCCTTGGTTTGAAATCCCTCCTCTAATTAACACTCCAGTATTAACTTGGCAAGTTTTAGTGTCCTTGACTCTGTTTCCTCATCCACAGAGCAGGCATGATATTTAGGTACAGGACTGTGTTGAGAATTCAGCAGAAGTATTTAAGTGTGTGGTGTGCTGGACAGTTACAAGTAGTTATAAATTCAGTGCTTTTTCTCTTTTTTCCAGCAGCAGCAAAAGGAGATATTTGACTTTCCAAAAAGCTATGTAGATAATATAAGGGCACAAAGTGCATAAAATTTGACATTATTTCTATAATCAATGCTTGATCATGTAAAGTGCAAAGAGCATCAACCACAGTAATAGTAATGATAATAGCAAATATTTATGGAGTGTTTGCCATGTGTCAGATACTGCCTTAACATCCTACATTTATTAACTAATATTTATCACAAAGCCCATGAGATGGATAAACTGAGGCACAGAGTGTTAAATTATAGGGTGCATAGGCACATCTGGGCCTGAAAAATTCTGTACCTTTTTATGCATTAAAAATGATACTTTAATACCCCTTTCATTCTTCAGGTAGATTCAGTAATCACCCAAATACATCTTGACACACAAACATTTTTATCCCCGTCTTCTAGCTGAGCAGGACTTGCCATCTTCTCTCTTTCTTTGTGTGAAGGAAAGAAGACGAGAAGTATCCCAGTTTGAGGGGTAGATCTGCTTGAGAGCTATGCTATAGGGGCTGCTGTTGATGAAAGAATAAAAGAGTGATGACTTTCATTCTTTTTAATGTTGAGAAATCATGATTATTTGGGGTGAAATACAAAGGACACACAAAATACAGATTTTTTAAAACAGCATTATATGTGGAAATACCGAGATACTGATTTTCACACAAATGCATTTGTTAACATGGAACGGTATAAAAGAACATTCTATCTGAATAAAGCATACGTACTTAACTGTTTCACGAAGCATGTTTTACTGATATGTTCTGATGCCTATTAAGCTTCTTTGTAGCTTTGATCTTGTTCGGTTTTCCTCCTTTTCATCCCCAGTTTTTCTAGGTCATTTATCAGTTTTTAAATATTTGAATGAGATCTTTGTTTATTGTAAGGTAATTTCTTACAGTTTCTGGTTCAGTAAGCATACCATAATTTCAGGCCACGAAGACCCCTACTGAAATTCGAAAGACCATGAAGCCTTTCTTTGTAGGTGATCTTAAGATAACATTGTACTTGGCCTTATGATGAACTGTATATGTATATCAGCTTTGAGACATAATAATTACTTTAAATTTTTAGGTTTTGGTTGTATTTAATCTCCTGGTTTGATGAAATGTTAGAGTATAAAGGAAATAAATGTTTCATCTTAAAAAATGTTTTGTGAAGGTTTTCTCACCCTGTGGTACTTCCTGATGCCTGATACTATGTCACGGTATACTTGGATGGATACTCAGCCTGAATACTTCTTTCTCCTCTTGGCAGCATGGGGTAACCTTGGAAATGTTCTGAAGAGTCAGAGCAAAATTTCTGAAGCTGAAAGCGCCTATAGAAATGCTCTGTACTACCGCAGCAACATGGCTGACATGCTCTATAACTTGTGAGTACGCACTGGGTCCTCTGCTCTGGGTCCTCTTTGCAACCTCTGGCGAGAGGGACTGTTTGTTTATTCATTTATTTATTCAATTTTATTTTTATCTTTATTATTGAAAGTATTACAGATGTCCCCCCTTTTTCCCCCATTGGGGACTATTGATTTAACTACTGGAAATGGAGATGATGGTAGCTGTTTTGCTGAAATTGTCTTTTTTATTCATCACGCCTCAGAGACTAGAAGGTGGATGCTATTTGCGATGTCTTTGTTATAAGCCACCTCATATCGATGTGTCATGGCTGAATCTTTGTAACAAAAATTAGTTTAAATGACTTCAGTTTTGTTTGTTTTTTTTAAGTTCCATTAGTACTTAGATGGGTTCATGATGTTATGTTTAATACTTTATATAATTTATATCTTGATTATTAGTAATAATAGATTTTGTCCTCTATTAAAAAATTGCTTCCGCCCTGGCCAGTTTGGTTCAGTGGTTAGAGCGTTGGCCTGCGGTCCAGAGAGACCCGGGTTCGGTTCCCGCTAAGGGCATGTACCTCGGTTGCAGTTTGTCCCTGGCCCTGGTTGGTCATGCGGGTGGCAGCCACTTGATGTGTCCCTTTCACGTCGCTGTTTCTTTCTCTCTCTCTCTCCCTCCCACTCTATCTGAACAAAAAATGGAAAAATGTCCTCGGGTGAGGATAAAAAAAAAAAAAGAGGAAAATAAATTGCTTCCAAGTATATACAGAACATGTATGAAACCTGGGGAGTTAGTGAATAAGATAATGGCTCTTCTTTTATGTGCCCCCTCTCCAAAGGTACTAATAACTAGGTTGGGATAATTGGATAATTTAGAATATGTTTGTACACTGGATTAGAAAAATCCCTAGGGGAAAAATTGGGTTCCTTCTTTGAATGAAAAGTCCGTAGGAGGTTACAGTAAGCTGTGAGTGGATAAATGCAAATGAACTCAAATCCCTTTTTTGGTCTCTTATGTTTATGACACTCTTTGGTTTGTAAGTAGAAACCTAGTCTAAACTTGCTTATACGCAAAAGAGATTTTATTAACTCCCATAACTGAAAATTCCTGGAGTTAACTAGATGTAACACAATTAGATCCAGGTGCTTTATTATGTTGTAAGAATGTGTCTTCATTCTGTGGCTCTGGTTTCCTCTGGGTTCACTCCCTTCTCTGTGGAACTCTGTCTGTATCAATGGGGAAGATGTTCCTGTACCTTTATGAATATAAATCCTGACTCCTCAGTCTCAGAGGAGTCGTCTTGGTGTCTCTATTAATCCTGATGAAGGTCTCGATTGCTCGTCCTGGGGTCATGTGTCCTCACTTGGATGGACACTGGCAGTGTGGCAGGAGCTATAAGATACCTCTGTTGACAGTGCCACCGAAGTAGAAATGGAATGGAGGACCATTTTTCTGCTGGAAGGGACCAGGCAAAATAAGCTGTTCACTGCTGTGTTTCATGAGTACTATGTAGTATTGACAGTATCAAAGCTCTGTCAGCTTTACTTTTTAGTATGTATTTATGCCCTGGTTACGTCGAAGTATTTTGTACTGTCTAAATCTCAAAGCACAGATTTAAAAAAAAAAAAGTGAAATAAAATTAACAGAAAAAAATTTAAGATATTTATATATTTATTTTTTGTTTCTTTTTTTTTTTATTCCTCACCCGAGGATATTTTTCTACTTATTATCAGATAGAGTTGGAGGGAGGGAGGGGGGGAGAGAGAGAGAGAGAGAGAGAGAGAGAGAGAGAGAGAGAGAGAAAGAAACATTGATGTGATAGAGCAGCCAGCCTCATGACCCCACCAGGGCCTGGGACAAACCGCAATGGAGGTACAGAGGTACATGCCCTTGACCCGAATTGAACCCGCCATTGGTTGGTGGGCTGATGCTCTAACTGCTGAGCCAAACGGGCCAGGGCAAATTTTAGATATTTAATGGGAAGCAGACAGGATGAACTTAGTTTAATTTCCTGTTTATGCTTTCTTTTTACTTTATGTTTCTTGTTGGAAGTATTACAGATGCTCCACCCCCCTCTCCCCTATTTTTAACCTCCTAGACTTTCACACTGGGATCGCAGTCTCTTGGCCTGTGGTCTAATAGGTCAGCATGTGTTTTGTGTTGACCTGCACAGATTTAGTTTCCTCTTTTTTTACCCGCAATGCCTTCAGACGGAGCACATCCTCACAGTGAGCACAACCTGTGATGCTCTCTTCTGCGTTTCATGTTTCACCCAAATGTATCACCTTCTTTTTCCCCAAAAGTATTTGAGTTTACATCTTTTTTTTTTTTTTACTTGAATGAATATATCTAGATACTCCTTCAATGTCTTTTCCCACATGTCTTCATCTAAATGATGTGATGTTACTATATTATCGATTAATAGAATTTTTATTTCATGAGAAAAACCTTATCAGTTTGATAAATTTACGCAAATGTTCATCTTTTTTTTTTTTTGGATCTGAAAGTCATATTGTCAAAGGGGACTCTTGCTTTGCAATGGGGGGTGCGCATTTCCTTCTGGGGCTCATTCTTCATACACCGGGAGAGGAAGTAAACTGAGCACCCAGTGCCCCTTTGTTGAACTTGTTTTTCTCTCTCTTATCCACAGTTCTTTACTTCTTATTGGTATCTGTTGGGCAAAGGTTGAAAGAAAAGAGGAAATGTGTCTATCCAGGCTTACTCTTTTCTGAGTAGAAAAATTAATTCGATAAGATAAATTCAATTTACATATAATCTAAAAGTTGCATCTTATGAAACTCACTGTCTGGATACATATATAAATTATGAAAACATATATATACCTCCTCAAACCCTAACAAAAAATCTTTGTTGCAAAAATGATTGTTAACAAGATCAGGGTTTTTTTCCATTAATTGTAGAAAAATCAGATATGTCACCAATGTCATAGATAGCTCCAAAATATTTTTACTAATATGACAGGTTTTTTTTTTTTTTTAAACTACATTTAACTGTTAGCTCAAAGGAAAAGGCTTAAATTTCACAAGAAATATTGGTGATGATTTCAATGTATTAGATTATGTAACACATATGGTTGACAGAAATCTGATACTCAATAATTATATTCCAAAATAGGGAATTTTTCAGTGATTTTAAAAAAATCTAATATCAAAGTGCACCAAGATAGATCTTTTACAACCCATAAAATAAAAATATATATGGCATCGTATGTCCTCAGGGACAAACTTTTCTATTATTTACATAGGTAGGAAAAGAAACAGCTCTCTCAAACATAGTTTAGAGAATATTTGAAAAACCCTTTTGAGATGTATATGCTATTTCTATTACATAATTCTCTCTGATGTATTGAAATTGCTCCTTGTTCTATTTCAAATCCTGAAAGAAAACGAATTTGCTTTGCTCAGTCTTACCAGTCACTTGATACTGCTCCTTTGTGGTAGTAGCAGGTTTTAATTACTTTTCATATAATCAATTATAGTTATGTCTCTTAAAGATGTTTTATGATGAAAACCTGGAACTAATAGACATATATCACTTATATTCACTAATGAATTTTAGAAGCTTTTGGGAATTATAAACTTCTGTTAGATCCTGTACTTGACTTTTGCTCAGTACCTAGATTTTTTTGAACTCATTATAAAACTACTGCTTTGTAAATTATTAAAATTTTTCATATTTTTATTAGGAAGATAATCTGGAGATACATATTATGTACCTTCAAAACAATAATTACTAAAGTGAGGTACACCATCACTGGCCAGCCACACAATGATTCTAAGAAGTCAGAGATGATCTTTAAATTAATCCCTGTATATTTAATTTTATGTTTAAATAAAAATATGATTAACACATTTAAAAGCACATGTAAATAGCCCTGGCCAGTTTGGCTCAGCGGTTAGAGCGTCGGCCTGCGGTCTGGAGAGACCCGGGTTCGGTTCCCGCTAAGGGCACGTACTTCGGTTGCAGTTTGTCCCCAGCCCTGGTTGGTTGTGCGGGTGGCAGCCACTCGATGTGTCCCTTCACGTCGATGTTTCTCACTCTCTCTCCCTTCCTCTCTCTCCCTCCCACTCTATCTGTGCAAAAAATGGAAAAATATCCTCGGGTGAGAATTAAAAAAAAAAAAAAGCACATGTAAATATTATTCTATGTGAGGATAGAGAAAAATGATTTGAAAAATATTAAGTAATAGTATAAATGATATTTGGTTATAACTGAAGTTAAGCAACATTGCCTAATAATATTATTTAACTTTGAGAATAGTTTTTTGCAGGATTACTATCAAATTATATATGAGAGGTGCATCAAAATGGTTATATATCCTGTTGATAAATTGATGAGATAATATTGATTTTTTTTTTCTTGATAACAATTACTTGAATTACTTACCTGTACCAAGCACTGTTCTTAGTTCTTTACAAATGTTATCACAGTTTGCCTTCAAATGAAACCTAAAAAATGAGGAAAATGAAACTCCAGCAATTTCTCTGAGTCACAGTAGAGGAGCAGGAATTTGAACTTAAGATGTTTTAACTCTACATCCATAAAACCCTATTTCTGCAGAATAAATGACGAGTGTGGAAAAAAAAAAAAACCCACCTCAATATATATCTTTCAAATTTAGAAAAAAAATTTTAATTCAAATAACCTTTGCATTTAGAAATAAAGAACTTGCAAATAAATTGAATAGAGAGTATACATTAATTTTTTTTATGTCAGTTACTGTGTTTACTGAATACATGCTGTAGAATTTTGTTAGAAAGATCATCAATGGGTTTTACAACTGAGCTAAGAGTTGCTTTCAAGAATAAATTGCTGCAAAAATCTTTTTAATGGTCTAAATTCACCTTGCTGGTGTGGCTCAGTTGGTTGGGTGGCATCCCATGCTCCACAGTGTTGCTGGTTTGATTCCGAGGTTGGGCATGTGCTGAGTTGCAAATGCAGTCAGTCAGCGTTTCACTCTCATATGGATGTTTCTCTCTCTCTCCCTCTCCCTTCCTTTCTTCTCTAAAAA